TGTATCACGGTGAAGTAGGTGGCTGTAGCTGGGATTTCGGTGATGATGGTGGCTGGATTAGGCACCACAGGGGCCCGTGGTATGACGTAGGAGTTTACGAAGTACAGGTCATGGACAAAACAGTAGATGGGATTTCTTTCTGGGTCGGTTCATGGCTTCTGCACTGGAAAGATCAGAGTGTTGCATGGGGAAGTGCATTTCTGAAGAACCCCTTGTGCCATGTGTGCCTTAATAAGTTTCCTTATGGGCTCTATGGGCTCGGCTAGGAGGTATGCATGTTTTCACCTGTATTTTTACTGGTATGGCACTTTTTAGGAACCCCACTTTGCTGTAATCCCAGCCCCATAAGGAGGGTGGCAGGTCTTTTAAGTCTGAGTGGAGTGTGCCTTCTTCAGAGGAGAAGAGGGTGGCCAGGTAGTGCATGTGCCTAATGGGAATGTCTAATGTGAGTCTGTCGGGTGAACACTTTATGCTAGCCCCTCGTTTGCACAGGAGGTCCCTATAGTGGGGATTGCAGGCAAACGGTTGGTCCAAAGACAGGGGTCCTATCTCTACTCTCATCTCATTGGTGAATTCCATGGGTATGATTTTGCCCCCCACCCCAATGATATTGTCCCTTGCTCCTGGTACCATGGATCCTTTATATGGGGTTGTGTGATTAAGGATGATGTTGCCTAGTGTCGACTAGACACTCATACGTTTTTCCTCCTATTGTGAGGGTCAGGAGGAGTTCGTCCTCTGGGCCATTCTTTAAAGGAATTGTGAGTCCAGTAAAAGTTGTGCTGGTCTCGGTGGATTCCAAATCTAGTCATTGGGGTTCAAAATCACCCTCAGACTGCACATGGTGGGTTCGCCCTGGGGTTCTTTGGGCCCTAGGTAGGGTAGAAGGTCCCTTGGGGAATGGAGCCTCTGGTGGGCCATAGCGGTTTTGAGATTTAAAGGAGGAGACTTCCCTACGTTCCCTTCTGAAGTGTCCCTCTTCTCTGCATTGAAAAAAATGCTGGCAATTCTTTCTTAGGCATCCCTCCTCACCACACTGGAAGCACCTTCGCTGTCGGTCTGAAGTCCGGTAGCTAGGGTGCCTTCGGTTGTTCCGCAGGGCTGCAAACATTTTCAAGTCCTCCCTCCTTTCTGCCCTTCTTTTCCTCTTCCTCTCATTTTCTCTTTCTGCCTCCTTCCTTTCCCTATCTTCTTCCCTTTGGTTGAATACAAAGTTGGCAATCCTGTGCAACTCTGTGATCTCTAGGGTTGACCAGTTGGAGATGATTCTATGAAAATGGCTCCTAACATCATTGGCAGATTGGTCCACAAAAGCAGAGGCCAAGAGCCACTGATCTTTGTGGTTGTTAATGTCCAAATAAGCATAGCCAACCTCTGCTTCCAGGAGACGAACCCAGAAGGCATCTGGTGTTTCTTCCTCCCTTTGCACTTTATTTTGGAACTCTGACCAATTCAGTGGCTTGCTGTTATGACCCAGGTCATGTAGGCAGAATCAGGCACCAATAAAGTCTTATACTGCACTGCTATTCCACGACAAATGGCCCTACAACGGCCAGTAAAGCTCCACCCCACACTTTCCTGAAGGCAGCCACCCACAGTCAGTGCAACCCAGTCCCACAAACTAGACCAGTAGTCACCAGAGCTGATTCACAAGGCAAAGAGGAAGTCTGTAGTCCATAAACAAGGTTCCAAGTCCACAAGGCAAGGTCCGTAGTCCACAAACAAGGTTCAGAATCCACAGGGCAGAAACACGATCCGAAGTCAAGCAGAGTTTACAAAGGCTGGGGAAGTGCGTGCCTCTGCTTAAATCAACTCAAGCCAGGTGTTCCTTGTGAGGAGGGATGGGGCGGCCTCGCCAGCAGCCTTGTAGACCTCCTTTGAGCTTTGCCTCCGCTCCACTCTCCGTGCCCTCAGATCAAGTGGGGGAGGCAGCTGTTCCTAATCGGGGGATCTGCTGCTTCTCATCACCACTGCCTGTCTGCACCCGATCCTCCCCTGTGTTTGTGAGGGCAGGCAGCTCCCAATCCAGTCGACCAGCTCCCCCAATGCCAGAGGGGCCTGGGACAGCATCGTCCTCAGACCCTAGACTCTCCAGACATTCCAGGGGAGATATGACAACCCCATCAGATGGTCCTGGTTCCAACTCCTCCTCCTCCTCTGAACCGGGATCTGATGGGGCCATGACACTTGCGCCCAATTTCCTATAAAGCCTCCAGCAAATTCTCTTTAGCTTTGTTATATTTGTCCCAGTGGACTGCAGTGTTATAATAAGATTATTATATTCATATAATCTTATATGTTATTAAATAACATAGTTTTCTTAGGCTGAACCGGTGGCCGTTCTAGCAAAGAAAAGACAGGGAAGGCTTTCTGCCTAATTCTTATGGGGATTTTCTTTTCTATTCTTTGGGAGACTATTCTTGGAGGGGAAATCTTCTATTCCTGGGGGCGGGGGGAACATTTCCTTTACATACACTTCTGGTCAGATGCCCTCACAATGAGTTATTTCACAGAGTCAGTGGAAACAGATAATTTCTTGTACTCTTCCTTTTTTAGATTTTTAGTTGTGTGATTCGCACACCATTGAGTGAAGTTGTACAAAGATAGACCTGATGTCAAGGCTGCTAACATTGGATGTTCTTGCTTGACAATATATGAAGAAGCAAACATGTTTTATTTAACCTGTGTATCACTTCTAGAGTTAAAGTCAGACAATGTTAGAAGAGAGGGGGGAAAGTATGTACTCGGGGGATAGTTAGCCATAACAATATTTCAGTACAGTATTTCCAAGGTCAGTTGTAACCAGAGGAGTTACGGGAGGGAAAGTTCACACTTCAAACTAATTGGAGAACGTGATTGATGACTGTTAAATGAAGGAGTGAGTTATGCCTTGTTAAAGGTGATTGGGGGAAGGAGAATTCAATTTTTGGCTTCATTATGTACGTGCCAAAGCTATGTAGCAATAAAAGGATTCTTTAAGGTAAACAAGGCCTCAAAGTTCTTTGAAAAGCTTCTTCTTTCGGAACCATGACACTTAATTTAGCATTAAAATCACCAAGTAATATGATTATGGCTTGAGCATGCAAGGTGGTTACAGGTGGTCCTCAACTTACAATAGTTCATTTAATAACCATTAAAAGTTACAATGGCACTGAAAATAGTGACTTATGACAGTTTTTCACATGACCGTTGCAGCATCCTTGTGGTCACATGATCAAAATTCAGATGCTTGGCAATTGACTCATGTGTATGATGGTTGCAGTGTCTCAGGGTCATGTGATCACCTTTTGTAACCTTCTTACAAGCAAAGTCAAAGGGGAAGCCAGATTCACTTAGCAACCATGTTACTAACTTAACAACTGCAGTGATTCACTTAACTCTGGCACAAAAGGTCGTAAAATGGGACAAAATTCACTTAACAAATGACTCACTTAGCAACAAAAATTTTGGGCTCAATTGTGGTCATTAGTCAAGGACTACCTGTATGTCCATCCAATGTTATTTCTAAACGTATCCAAAAATAGTTATAACAAGGGGATGTGTTTGGGGAAATATAAACATCCCCATAATATAGTTGTTCACCCTGCCATTGCAATTCTTCTTTAGTAAGAATGCATAAGCCCCTAGAGGTTCACCCTTTGTTCTTTAATTTCTGGGCAGAGGGAATATCAGCATTAGAAACCCGGGAGTTGTACTGGTTTATCCTCTTCAGCTAACCAGGTTTCTTGTAAGGCTATTATCTGAAACTCGGAAAGGAATCTCAGAAAGTCATTGTTGACAGACTCTCCAGTTGGCTGTATTCCAGGTTACGGAGATTCTCAGTCATCCAGGTCATGGTTGTCCCAAAGGTGCTTTTTCAGGAGGACATTTATATCCATAGACATTTAGCTATGCACTTTGGGCTGAACACCCTCGAATGGTGCAGTAATATGAATGGATTTCCAGAAAACATTGCAGACTACAGGAACAGGGCAAAAATCCTGCAGCCAGAAGGTTCCACACACATTTGCACTACTCAGGTGACCCTGAGGACACAGGTAAACCTCCAGATGACCCCAACGACCCTCTAAAAGAATGCAAATGACCAGCTGTCTGCAAGGAATATAAATCCTTCCATTCCCCACCATCTAGTCAGAGTTGAAGAAGTTTCTTGGATGAGAAGCGAAACGTCTTCAAAGAAAAACAAGAAAGTCCAGTTGCCTCGTGAAAAAGCATCTTTGAGATATAACTATGACCTAGATGACTGAGAATCTCCATAAACAAACAGTAAAGAAAAGAAAAAGAGGTAAATGAGAATTGAGGATCAGAACTTCCTACTTAAGGTTTGTGGGAAACTTCCTGCTATGCAGGGAGGGCCACATAATGTTTTTAAAAGGTTTGAGTTGACCAGTAGTGCTTTTCACATGTTCCTGTTATATCTTCTCTTGTTAAATGATACCTGTGTAGATCTACAGTAGATCCTGTATACTGGATAAAATCTAAATTATTTTGAAAGAATAGATTTGCTTCCAGAGAAAAATAGGATTTTGGAAAACTTTAAGAGGTAACCCAAATTAAATTTAATTAATCCTAATAATTCCTTTGATGAAACGCTCCTATTATGAAGAAATCCCCTTGATCATGTCTGGAACATATTTCTAAGTAGATGGGATTGGACTGCAATTGAAATAATAGTCACACATATATTTTGGTTTCAGGATGAGAGACATTACTATCTTCCTGCAACCTCCCATGCAGTGGTTCAAATTTAACTGTTTTAAAAAGATACAATTTTGCATGTTAAAAAATATCTAAAAAAACTTCATTAGACTTTATAGTCAGCATGTAAGTTCTCCTTTTCTATCTTATATTAGTTTCGTTAAAGCAGAACAGTTTTAAATGAAGTAATAATAAAACCATGGCAAGTAAAATTATATGTGCTAAATGAAATCTGTGCTATTTAGTCAAATTTGTCCTAAATAATTTTGTGGCTTTTTTTTTTTGTCTGTATGCTTTTAGTCGAGTTGGGACTGAATGAAGATGATACTTTTGCTAAGGGGCCTACACTGACTGTATATAAAGAGTCTTTTGAATCTCAGTTTCTTGCTGACACAGAAAGATTCTATACAAGAGAGAGCACTGAATTTTTGCAACAGAATCCAGTTACAGAATACATGAAAAAGGTACTATGGGTATATTACAAGTTTCTGGATCAAAAAATAGCTGGTACTGTATTTGAAGTAGGAATTTAAAGCAACTGTTTTGTCTGGAAGATGCTGAACTGCAAGTACGAACTAGCTTCAGTTCCTATAAAGCTAAAGATGAGTCATGAGTATACATGTGTTTTCCTTGGCCTTGTTTAACTAAAGCCGTGGAATTTAGGTACAATATTGAAAAAGTAAAGATTTTTTTTTCTGTTCCTTTATTAAAATTTACCAACAATTGAGGTCAAAGGAAAACAATCTGAAACAGAACAATCAGTAAAAATGGAATCTTGAAATATTTCACATAGTTTTAAAGTCTCAGAAATAAGTGTCAGAAAATGCTAAAATAAATTAACATGTTAAATAATTGACAGTTCCTCCCTTGCTTCCTTCTAAATGATGGATTTTATTCTGAATAAAAATGGCAAAACAAACTTAGATTTATTTATTTATTGTATCATGCCTTTATTATTTTTACAAATAACTCAAGGCAGTGGACACATTCCTTCTTCCTCCTATTTTCCCCCCAACAACAACCCTGTGAGGTGAGTTGGGGTGAGAGAGAGTGACTGACCCAAGGTTACCCAGCCTGCTTTCATGGCTAAGGCAGGATCTGAACTCAGGGTCTCCTATTTTTTAGCCTGGTATCTTAACCACTAGACCAAACTGGCTCTCATGACATAATAATTCTTAAATTATTTATGGTATATGTTTCTGTGTTTTTTTAAAACAAGTTAATGATTTATCCTCCAGATTATTTGTCATATTTCTATATTCTTGTTATAGTATACAGGTATTCCTTGACGTATGACCACAATGGAGCCAGGAATTTCAGTTGTAAGTCATTAAGGTCCTAAGTTGAGTCACCATGTGACCAGCCTCAATTTTATGACTGTTTTCACAACAGTCATAAAGTGAGTCGCTGCAGGCATTAAGTGAACCATGTGGTGGTTAAGAGAATCCAACATATCCAATGGGCATTTTTTTACATTTTCTGTCAAAATGGCAAAAAATGTCTGAAATTGCAGTCACATGACTGCAGGACACTGCAACAGGTCATAAATGCTAGCCAGTTGCCAAGTGCCCAGAATGCAGTCATGTGACCACAGGGTGTGGGTGGGGCAGTTGTAACTTTGAGGACAGGTTGTAAGTAGATTTTTGAAGTTCATATCTTTGAATGGTAATTAAGCAACTGGTTGCAAGTCAAGGGCTACCTATGGCACATTTCACTCCTTAGATCTCCCCAAGGAGAAAAAAAAATGACATGGGGGAATTTCCAGACATTTTAAAGATAAAATGGATGCCCTAAACCTGGGCAAGTCTGAAGACACCCCTTTTACCTTGTAAAATTCAATTCCCCTTTCCCCTGAAAACATTGGTCAGCTATGGAGGCTCTGTGAGCTTGCTTTCCAGTTAAGTGTAGTTATAAACCTATTTTATATATCTTATAAAGAGCTACAGTGAGGGAAAAAATTATTTGATCCCCTGCTGATTTTGTACATTTGCCCACTGACAAAGCTGCCTGAGCAGGGGGTTGGACTCGATGACCTCCAAGGTCCCTTCCAACATTATTATTATTATTATTATTATTATTATTATTATTATTATTGTTGTTGTTGTTGTTGTTGTTGTTGTTGTTATTTAATGGTAGGTTTATTTTAACAATGGAGGTGGAAACATTATGCTTTGGGGGTGTTTTTCTGCTAAGGGGACAGGACAACTTCACCACATCAGAGGGACGATGGACGGGGCCATGTACCATCAAATCTTGGGTGAGAACCTCCTTCCCTCAGCCAGGGCATTGAAAATGGGTCGTGGATGGGTATTCCAGCATGGCAATGACCCAAAACACACGGCCAAGGCAACTAAGGAGTGGCTCAAGAGGAAGCACATTAAGGTCCTGGAGTGGCCTAGCCCACGGGTTGGCAACGCGCGGCTCCCGAGCCGCATGTGGCTCTTTCAGCCATCTCCTGCGGCTCCCTGTCCTCAGCCACCATGTGCAGTCTGAAAAAAAAAAGTGGGACTAAAAAAGTTCAACCAATCAATTCAAACTTCTCATGAAGTTTGAATTGATTGGTTGCTGGGACTGCCCACAAACCTCTTTCCTTCTTCGTACTGCACGTGGTGGCCGGGAGGATTGCTGGAAAGGTGTCCCTGGTAAGCAGCCACGGGTGGCCGGTCTTGGGGTGCCTCTTCCCCGCCCGGTGGGTCTCCCCTCGCCCTGCTCCGCCGCCGCCTCTGTTAGTCGGGGGGGGGGGTCGCCGTGGGTCTCTATAGCTTCCCCTCTCCGCCTGCGCCTTTCGGCCATCTCACGTGCAGCGGATTCCCCCGCGTCGCCTGCCCAGCCCTTTCCCCACCTGCTGCGCGGTCCTCTTGGCCGTCTTCCCGCTGCCGCTGCTGCCGGTTGTGCTGAGCGAGGCCGAAGAGGAGGCGGCGAGCGGGCAGCCGCACCCATTCGCCATCCTGCTGCCGCCGCTGCCATCCTTAGTGCTGCAGGAGAAGGAGACCTTGGGCTGCGAGGGCGGCGGGGCTGGCGGTGGGTTGGGACCCCCCCTCGTCCCCACGGCGGAATTCCCCGTTGCTGGCGCGGCCACCCATGGTGCACCCGGCCTTGGCGCCCTCCTCTTGCGACGGCGAAGTGGCTGAGGACGCGGAGGGGGCGGCGGCTGGGCCGGGGGCGGCAGGGACCCCCGACAATGCTGCAGTGGCTGCCACCGTGCCGCCACCGCCACCGGAGCTGCTGCCTCTCGTCCTCCCCCTCCCCGCCCGTTTGGCGCCGTCTGCCTTTCGTTCTCTCTCTCCTCACCTGGAGAGAGAGAGGAAAGAGAGAGAAAGAGAGAGGAAAGAGAGAAAGAGGAAAGAGAAAGAGAGAGAAAGAGAGAGGAAAGAGAGAGAGAGAAAGAGAGGAAAGAGAGAAAGAGAAAGAGGAAAGAGAAAGAGAGAAAGAGGAAAGAGAGGAAAGAGAGAAAGAGAGAGGAAAAAGAGAGGGAGAGAAGAAAGAGAGAAAGAGGGGGAGAGGAAAGAGAAAAAGAGAGGAAAGGGAAAGAGAGGAAAGAGAAAGAGGGAGAGGAAAGAGAAGGAAAGAGAAAAAGAGGAAAGAAAAAAGAGAGAAAGAGAGGAAAGAGGAAAGAGAGAGAAAGAGGAAAGAGAAAGAGAGAGAAAGAGGAAAGAGAGGAAAGAGAGAGAAAGGGAGAGAAAGGGAGAGGAAAGAGAAAGAGGAAAAAGAGGGGGAGAGGAAAGAGAAAGAGGGGGAGAGGAAAGAGAAAAAGAGAGGAAAGAGGGAGAGGAAAGAAAGAGGGAGAGGAAAGAAGGAAAGAGAAAAAGGAAAGAAAAAAGAACGAGAGAGGAAAGAGAAAGAGAAAGAGAGGAAAGAGAGAAAGAGGAAAGAGGAAAGAGAGGAAAGAGAAAGAGAGAAAGAGAGAGAGGAAAGGAGGGAGAGGAAAGAGAAAGAAAGAGGAAGAGGAAAGAGAAAAAGAGGAAAGAAAAAAAGTGAGAGAAAGAGAGGAAAGAGAAAGAGGAAAGAAAGGAAAGAGAACGAGAGAAAGGAAAGAGAAAGAGAGAACGGAAAGAGAGAGGAAAGAGAAAGAGGGAGAGAAAGAGAGGAAAAAGGGGGAGAGGAAAGAGAGAAAGAGGGGGAAAGAGAAAAAGAGAGGAAAGGGAGAAAGAGGGAGAGGAAAGAGAAAGAAAGGGGGAGAGGAAAGAGAAAAAGAGGAAAGAAAAAAGAGAGAAAGAGAGAGAGGAAAGAGGGAGGGAGAGAGAGGAAAGAGAGAGACAGAGAGAGACCCTTTTGACATCTAAAATGAAGATAACACTGCATATATCCTTTTTTACCTTTATTTTATATATACACACAAAAACACATATACATACATACATACATAAAGGTAAAAAAGGATATATGCAGTGTTATCTTCATTTTAGATATCAAAAGGGTTTTGCGGCTCCCAATGTTTTGTTTTCAGTGGGAAATGTGTCCAAGTGGCTCTTTCAGTGTTTTGGGTTGCCTACCCCTGGCCTAGCCAGTGTCCAGACCTTAATCCCACAGAAAATCTGTGGAGGGAGCTGAAGGTTCGAGCTGCCAAACGTCAGCCTCGAAACCTTAATGACTTGGAGAGGATCTGCAAAGAGAAGTGGGACAAAATCCCTCCTGAGATGTGTGCAAACCTGGTGGCCAACTACAAGAAATATCTGACCTCTGTGATTGCCAACAAGGGTTTTGCCACCAAGTACTAAGTCATGTTTTTCAAAGGGGTCAAATACTTCTTTCTTTCACTCATTAAAATGCAAATCAATTTGTAACTTTTTTGAAATGCGTTTTTCTGGATTTTTTTCTTGTTATTCTGTCTCACACTGTTAAAATAAACCTACCATTAAAATTATAGACTGATCATTTCTTTGTCAGTGGGCAAATGTACAAAATCAGCAGGGGATCAAATAATTTTTTCCTCACTGTAGCTTGAAACTGGAATTTGTGGCAGCTGTTCCATATAGCAGTTACAATTATTTATGGCATGCCTTTTTTTCTAACAAGAGTTGCACTTTAAAATGATGTCACATTTGGAGTTTAGGGATCACTTTTACATAAAATGTATTCATTTACAGGCAGAAGGCCGTCTTCTGGAGGAACAGCGTAGGGTTCGGGTATACCTACATGAGAGCACGCAAGATGAACTAGCACGGAAATGTGAACAAGTACTAATTGAAAAACACTTAGAGATCTTTCATACAGAATTTCAGAACCTGTTAGATGCTGACAAAAATGAAGGTAAGCTTTCCCATGTTTAACTGATTTAACCCTAACTTTTGATAAAATGTGAGGTCTAGGTTGAACTTGTTTCCAGGTGACTTACATTCATGACATGATATGGAAATGGTTTCCCATCATCATCTGCACTTTTTATAAAAAAATTCCTAGTTTAATCTATAACTCTTGGGTTTTCCTAGTGGCCTCTCATTCAAATACTAACCAAGTGTGACCCTGCGTAGTTTTGTAGACTGCCATGGTCTATGGCAGGGGTGTCAAAATGCCGGCCCACGGGCCGGACACGTCACAAATAAACCGCACCAACCCCATTGCCAGCAATGGGGAAAAAGTTCCAATACGTCACGTGACGTCGTGAGTTTGACATGTCTGGTCTATGGTAAAATATACTTAATAAGTGAACACAGGTTAGGATACATGTTAGATCCTACCTAGTGGCGATGAGGGTGGCTAGGACTAACTACTATTCCTCGCTCATCGCGTCATCAGATAACCGCCCGGCCGCCCTCTTCAGGGTGACCCGCTCTCTCCTCCAACTGAGGGGAGGGGGGGATCCCCTGGAGGGGAGGGCCGAGGACTTTGCGCAATATCTGCATGA